CTCCCCCCCCTACCCCTCGCACCCCTCCCCCTTACTTTGTGCAGCAATCCACTCCCTAATCCCACTCTATTTATCTTATCCTCCAGTAAATAGTTAACTACTCCATTTCACGCCTTTTCACAAATCTCCGTCTGCAAGCATGCGACATGATGATGTTGTTTCAACTTGTTTGTGAATTTTTGAAAAGCCGTGTGATCAGAAAATATGAGATAAAGTTGAAAAACACAATTGTGGAACATGAAGTGAAATCTTGCAGTGATATATAACAGGCCGCTGGCATGCGGAGTGAAGCTGCAGGTGCGAAACTCGCGGTGTGCGCATGCCACACCATGCAGCACATGTGCTGATACTGTGACTCATGCATCTTCTTTTTCTTTCTCTTGTTTTCGTTTTTCTTCTTGTTGATGAACTTTTTTTTTTTCCCCCTCATCTTTTATACCAGACTGGTCACTGGGGATGGTGATTTTTCAATTTTGAGGAGTGTTTTTTTTTTTTTTTTTTTTTCGGGGGGGGGGGGGGGGGGGGGGGGGTAGGCTCTTCAGGGTTTATTTCAAATTATTTCTGACTTGGTTTGCTGCTGTGCGCAGGGTGGAGAATGCAGAGACGATCGTGTTAGGGCTCGTCGCCGGCATAATTCTTATGATCACCTTCCCCCTCTTCTGCGCTTCAGGAAACATACTGCTCCAGTCACGGCCCCCAAGAGTTCAAGCCGGGGCTTTGGCCAAAGCCCTCCGAGAGGTATGTATACTAGTATATAGTATATACTATGTAGTAGCATATGATATTTGGGTTTGCATCTTTTGCTGGTTAATTCTCTGTGAATCCGATGGCCGCTCTGTGGAGAATTTAGCACAGACTCTCCTGACCCTAATTTGGCAAGTCTGATGTGCTGCCAATGCTGGACATGGCGAACGTCTGACCTTGGAGGCAAGACCCTGATTTTATTGTGTTTTTTTTAACTTTTTTAGACTTTTTTTTTTTTTTTGGTTCCGAGATGTTGTAGTGCTGATGAATTACCCAGCCCATGAGGGCGGCATGGCACACCCATGAACTGTGGATTAAAAAACGGGAGTACGAATCCTGATGGTATCCGATGAGCCGAAGCTGACTCTGAATTACCTGGGGGCGATGACGATTCCCTCAAGGCCATCAGTCACTCCTTTTTTTTTTTTTTTTTTTTTTTTTTTTTTTTTG